TGGGTTTTTTTTTATTTTTTTTGTCACAAATGTTGCAGGCATTGCCCCACTTTGTGGGCAAAGACATATTTCACAATTTCCAGGATATTGTGATTTAAGTAGGTCCCTCCTCACGTGCAGCGCATGAGACAGTCCTGTTGATATAGTCGAGCGGTTCTCAACCCTGTTAGGCTCGATACCAGCTCTTAGCTTGCGCTTTTTGGGGTTTTTTTGTTTTGTTTCTTTGTTTTGTTGGAGGTGGGGTGGGGGTTGATTACAGAAAAATAACAGATCAATTCTTCTGTTACAAATTGCTTATAAAGACCTCAGCAAGTCTGTATGTGTTTGACACTACAGATCCCGATATGAAATCTCTGGCCATGTCTAGATAAGTGCAACTGTGTGGCACCCATCTGCAGTGCCACACATCACATTCGAGTGTTTCCCGCGCTGCTGCCTTGCAGCCGGGGGGGGGTGTTTTTTTTGACCCGTGGAAAGCGGGGGTGGCACGCGTAGAGGCCATACCTGCCGCCCAAAACCGGAGCCTGGCTGATTTGGAGCCACACTCCAGCTGCTGGCTGGGCTCCGAGGTGCAGGAGTGATGCAGCTGCAGCTTTTTTGGCCCCTAGGTGAGCCCCAGCCTCCCCCACCCCACTCGGGGTAACCTGCTGTGTGCCAGGGGGCATGTGGCACACATGTTCCCCGGAGACAAGTAGCAGTGGCACTACTTGTCCCTGGGGAACCAAATGTCCACGCTCATCTGGACGTGGCCTCTGAATCATCTGTCCTGTGAATCACTTGTGGGTATTTGCACACCTAACAGTGCTAATATTTCACAACACTCCCTGATGCCTTTAAAAGCATCTCGGGACTCCTCAGGGTGCTGTGGAGCTGAAAATACCTGGCCTAATACCTTTTGAGGAGGCGTGTAGTGGTTTCTTTCCTTCTCCCTAACAATCAGCTTTGGATCCTCAGGTGGTCTTTTCCAGCACTGCAGCCTAATCAGTCTTTCCCCATGTTGTATTTATTCATGCGATGATCTCAATGCACTGCATAGAGGAAGGAGCAACCTTTCGTGGAATAGCCTGTAGTGTCTGTGTTGGCTCTTTAGTGAGATTCCTTCTCTCACTGCTGACTTTCTTCTTGGTTGTATCCTTTGTCGCCAGGTCATCAAAGCTGGGGTGGAGACTACCTGCAAGTGCCATGGGGTATCTGGATCCTGTACTGTCCGCACGTGTTGGCGACAGCTCTCTCCGTTCCATGAGATTGGCAAGCAGCTGAAGCAGAAATACGAGACGTCGCTCAAAGTTGGCAGCACCACCAACGAGGCCACCGGGGAAGGGGACATCTCACCGCCCAAGAAGTCCATCCCTGGTCACAGTGACCAAATCCCAAGGACTACGGATCTTGTCTATATTGACGATTCCCCCAGCTTCTGTCTGATGAGCAGGTATTCACCTGGGACTTCGGGAAGGAAATGTTACAAAGACAAAAACTGTGACAGCATCTGCTGTGGCCGAGGTCACAACACGCAGAGCAGGGTGGTCACCCGGCCGTGCCAGTGTCAGGTCCGCTGGTGTTGCTACGTGGAGTGCAAGCAGTGCACTCAGAGAGAAGAGGTTTATACCTGCAAGGACTAATGCCCGCTCTGCTTACCAGATGCCCTCAGCGATGGGAGATCAGGATCTATGAGAATTATATATGGAGACAAACAGGGTGTGATTGACCATCTTGGGATCTGAAAGCTATGTTGAGACCTAAGCACTTTGTAGGGTACAGGTGACCCAGTTGTGTGTTTTGTTTTGTTTTTTTGTTTGTTTTTTTTCTTCTTTTCTTCTTTTTCCTCTTTTTTTCTATAGACTGAATGTTTTAATCATGAGGTCCAACCACATGGAAACAAGTGCCTGTCATGCCCGGGTTAGGTGTCAGCTGACCCTTTGCCAAAGCCATCCATAAACCCACTCAGCTTGACGGATCATTCATTTATCTTGAAAGTCCTTGATCGCTTCCTCAGTCCTCCCTAAGCTCCCAGGTGAAATTATTCTCCCTGGAATAAACAACTGTGTGCCCTACTCTACTTTTTATTCCTGAAACTTGCCTGCCTGAATGGAGAGCCAAGCAGATGAATGAGAGAAACTTGATTGAAAATGTTTCTACCTTTTTAAAATGTAATAATGATGATGTCTCTCTAAAGAAAGGGGGAAATGGGTGTGGGCAAGCTTTAGAAAATGAGTTACTCTTCTAAGGGAGTTTCTGCAGATTGAGTGTCCAAGGCTGTAAGGAAGAGACCCATGTTGAAAGTTGGCCACTTAGCAGCAATTTATATATTGGTGCAACTCCAAAAATGTTGGGTCCACCATGTTACGGGCAAATCCATCTGACAAAGAGCTTGAGGAGACAGTCCAACGATGCACATATCCCACCCACTCCCTGCAGTCCAGTCAAACGCTCATCCGTACATGTTCTCCAGATGCAGTTTCTTTAGCACTGTCACGGTCTTAAATCATTTTTAAAGAAAAACCACTAGATCTTCTTTGTGTCACTTTGGTAAAGGAGTCATCCCTCTTGCCTCTCGTTGATCGATGTTGACCCTGTGGAGGCTGCTGTAGAAATCCAAACTGGAACTTTTTAGTCTTATGGCGACAAAATTTGGATGCTCGTCTTTCTGATAGCTGGCTTTTGACCACATGAATTCCATTGCATCTCAATGCTGGCTTGACACTTGCATTTTATAGGAGCTGTTCTGGACTGGATTGGACCTTTTGGAGGAGAAGATGTTTTTTTACTAGGTCATCATTCCATTTACTCTAAACCATGGCAGTTGTACATGGCACAAACTTTAGGTAGACCCTACAACCATAAGCTTTTTTTTTTTTTTTAAACCACTAGATTGAGTATTTCTAAATACAGCAACTTACCAGTAACCAACCCTTGGAGAGTCCAAACCGCTAGTCAAACATGACATGAGCTCGTCAAGGAAGCCAACCATCAAATGCAGCGGTAGATAGCTCCAGCGCTGTGAACTAAATGACAACCTCCATTATTTCTTAAAAAGGATATTTTGCAATATAGGTATAGATATGGCAGTTTGTCTTCAGTCCTATAACACCACTGCTGGGATCAGAAACAGCTGGTAAATGCCTCAACAAAGCTTCCTAAGGAAATGTTGGAGAGTGGAAGGCTTTTTTTTTTTGTTCTTGCAGTCCTTGATGATTTTTTTTTTCATTAGTAGCAATTTCACTAGTTCATAACCCATGGATCTGTGTTTTTGAGAGAGGAAAGTTGGCTGGGATCTTTCTCCTTCCAGGAAAAGTAAATGCTTATTGCAACACAGGAGAGCATTGTCTTCCAAGAAGGACTGTTGTGCTCGGAGAGCCTCTTCAATTAGCAGCCACTAATATTCAAGCTGTTCGTGTGCATCTACCGGGAAGGGAAAGGTTATATGTAGTGTAGGGGATTCTCTTTTTTTATTTTTTTCCTTAAGGACAAATTGCAATTCAGCCTGACTTTTGTTGGTGTACTTCTTGGAGGCGGGAAGACTGGAGGAAGTGGGGGATGGGAAATAAAGGGTTGCCTTTCAACACTCTGCAGCCCTGCAACACAGCGCGCCTGGCTCTTCGTATGATTCTGGACACGGGGTGGAGTAGGAAGGGTGGAGTTGGGCCCGTCGTTCCTGCTGCGGCAGATGCACAGCAACACAATGGACACAACGAACGAAGGAGGAATCTGCGACTGCCACCAGAGGCGTTGGTTTGGAAGTAGTGCACGAGCAGTTTACCTGGGTGTTTTGGGGGGGGATTATCTTTTGAATTTTTTAAGAGACTGAACAGAAGTCTATTCGGTGTGGAGATGGATATAGATATATCTATCTATCTCTCACACACAAGCATACATAAATATATAGATATATATATATATATATATATATATAAAAAAAATACTGAATGAACATTTATTTATTATAAAGCCTTTCTGAAGGACCTTCTTATGGTTTCAATGTGGTATTATGTGTGTCTCTCTCTCATGCACAAACTCACTGTAAGATTTTTGCCATCCCTTTCCTCCCCTTCTCCTAAACACAACTAAATGAGATCCAAAACTGCCACCAAAACCTTGAGGAATAGCCCATCCGGACCCATCTCTACTTAATCTTTGTTTTTTGTCTGTTTGTTTTTTAAAGTGCTTTTTATGTACTTAAAAAAAAATATATGGGCGTGACTTTTTTCTTTTTGCTGGTGTCTCCATCCTCCGTTGATTTGCTGGGGTATTTCCACACTTGCGCTGATGCGAGGGAAGGAGGAGGCATCCTCTCTGCATAGAGGGAGAGATTGGTGGCACAGAGGTTACATTTGAGTTTGTGCATTGTACAAAGAGGATACGTGAGCTTGCACACCATGTACTTTTTTTTTCCCCAAGCAGTGTGTCTGGTGATGGGGGGAGGGGGGGAATGAGGCAAACTGTTAAAATATTGCATAGAGGTAAGGGGCAAAGAGTGAATGAACTACTGAGTGAAAGAGCTCTTCTGTGTATTAGGACTCACGCACTGAAGCCTGGATGCTTTCTGTAAGTATTTAAAAACAAATTGTATTTATGTTAATGTGGATATATTACTTTCCTGTTTATATATTGTAAATAGCAAGGTTTATTCTCCTGTGGTTAAAGAAAAAAAGGTATAAATAACTAAATAGTAGCGAGGCACATGCATTAAATGTATAGGCAGTGTATAACATATATACTAACACTCTGAAATCAGGAGAACTTATCTCTGTCTCTCTGGCCTTTTTGATGAAGGTGGTATAGCATATGGGTTACCTTCTTATTGTTGGGGGTGGGGGGGGGGTTAATGCCAAGGTTTTCCAATGTTTGCCTTATCTTTGGAAAAGAAATGAGTAGGGCAGAAAATGTCTCCTTTTAGAAAAGTCTTGAGCACTTGTTTAGGGTGGAACAAACGCGTGGTTTTAAAAGCCGTCTTGCAACCCGGTGCACAAACATGGCCGAGTCCAATCCCTCTCTGTAGCTTTTGTGAAGCCTCTTCTGGAAGTTAGCCATGAAGTAGCTGTTTCACTGGGCAACTGAAAAAAGCAATACGAAACCTGTCTCTTAAGGGCTTGATAAGGTTTGGAGTAACTTCCAGAGAGCCCTCTGGGTTTCAGCCCTATGAAATTCTGCTTTTCCATGGGCGCTGGTCCTGCTATCACTCCCACCATGGAAACTCCATTGCAATCCCTTGTTAATGGCATCAGAAAACTGAGATGAAAGCAGAGTTGAGCCCCAGATCTTTCTTGGTGCCAACTTTTTTTTGCAAAGAAAGCAAAGCTTTATTTACTTTCCTAAGACGGACTCTCTTGCAGCAAATATAACTGGGGAGGGATGGAAGTTGAGTGGTTTTTCATTCCCCCTCCTAGTTTTCGTTTCCACTCCCCCAGGTGTGTTTCAAAGGTCTGGTTTTTCCTTAGTGGGTCCAGCAAGACTTGCAAGGTATTGCCGGTATGTGCGCGGGGGGGAGGGAGGGGTGCAACCATTATTTATACAACTTTTTTTAAATTAAAAAAAAAAATTAGCGGGTGGAAGAATATTTTTATTGAATAGTGCATTTAGTTATGTCAGAAATATAAAAAAATATATATATATATAATATTTTTGTAAACAAGGCAAACTGAAAATGTTTGCTGTTTTATATTAGAATTTTCTATTATAAAATAATAATTAAAAAACAAACAAAAACCCACGCTAATAATTGTTGCACCCGTCATTTGTTATTTAACAAGCTTCTGTTCTGTGTGACTATCTATGCTGGTGCAGAGAAGTGCAAAACAAGTCCTAAACATTACGTTCATGCGGTCTTCCAACTTCAGAAGACTTTTAAATTGGCAAAGCAAGCAGTGTTGAGTCTAGTTGTTAAATACTACTTTTTTTTTATCATTTGTACCAAAACTAGGATTTGATTTGGAGAAAGATGCAAAAACTCACAATAAAGATGCCCCCATGCTTATTATTTCTTTTAACTGACCTACATTCTGGGATAGTGTTGGGTGTAATAAAGTAAAGACACACGGCACCCTCTGCCTTCAGTAGCAGTTACTTTTAAAAATAAAATAATAATTAAAAAAAGGTTGAAATTTGGTCCATGCCAGTCATGCAACTTCTGGCAACCATGTTAGGAGGCAGAGGATATTGTTGAGGACTTTTTGTCACCTGTTATCAAAGTTTTGCAACCTTTTCAGGTGCCCTTCTATTTGCAAAAAGATGTAGGAAAATGGCAACATCAAAGGATAAAATGCGACAAAGGAAGAGACGTTTTGTGATGGAGCATTTGCAAAGCAGCTCAGTTGCAAAACCCTTTGGGTAGCTTATATTGTAATGGGTTTTAATGGTCCTGGTTTGATGTTTCAAAAGCTCCAAGTCCTTCCTGTGGTCCACACCAAAGTCGGCAGTAGGGGCAACATCAGGCTAAGCATGACTTTGCTTGCCTTATTCAGCTTCATGTGGCTGCTAAGGTGAGGAAGGTCTAATTTCCCTCGGTTCAGGTATATTTAACGTAAGAATGCCCTTAATGACCAAGGACCCTTATAAGTTGGAGGATGTTGCCCATAGATGTGTCCTAGAGTGAAAATGGTCACGTGTGCATCCATGGGGATGACCAGATGGTCATCAGATGAGTTTTAAGCCTAGCGACTATTTTTTTTGAGGGGGTGGGGGGTGGATATACATCAGCCATTCAGAAGAGAAGTCTCCGTACTACAAAGTCACTCATTCCCAGTCACTTCACTCGAACCCTGTACAGGTGGAAAGGGGGAACACCTTTT